TAAATCACGATGACACAGAAAATTCTTTTGAATTCAAGACCGAGTATAATTTTATTAATGAAAACACACATTTTCTAGAATGTCTTTATTTGTTTAAATTACTGTGGTTTTCACCCAAATAGAAGCTTAGTATGTAGATATAATTATAACATTTATTCCAGAGATAGGCAAGGTCATGAAAGAAACACTATGTATAACTGACCTTCATGAGCAATTAAATGATTTGTCTGAGTTAAAGTCCCATTGGGAAGCTGTTCACGAAACACAAGCACGCCATCAAAGAGTTTCAGTTGCTTTATTCATTTTTTACTTTCAACCCAAATATGGAAATCGTAGCTTGAACATTCTATTGAAAATATTCTAATATTACTGTTTAATTTTTTGTCTGAGTGAGATAGACACCATTTTAAGCCTTTAATTAAATGTAATACTCTGTAAAATTATGCAAAAATAGTTGGGGACACAATGGCAATAACCTTCAATCTAAGAGTGAGGAATTTGTGCGTTTAAGCAGGGTGATTTGGGAGACAGGATGAAGTAAACCGCATGAAGATTCGGTCAGGCAGATACATTACTTTCTGCAGTTCTTTCATGCTGTTGTGCTATAGTACAGTACTGTATATCAATTTCTATTCACAGCATACAGTGCATTGAATTAGATGTATGAAAACTATCTTCACTTAAATTTCAGGGGCTTTCAACTTTGTCAGCCATAAATTTATGGACATGGCCATAAACAAAAACTATTACAGAGAGATCTATCAGTCTTGAAATTAGGTCGCTTCATCAACCAGGGCAAAATTCCTCCTATATTATTATTATTATATAATTTATTATATTGTGTTCCTCTGACAGTGTCAAAATAAATTATTTTGCCTGTAGATCCTTTGACACTCTTAGATCTCAAACTACAACTTTTCCTGTATTCCGTATAGAAGATTGAACAAATTACAAAAGTATCCTGGCATGGACTTTAAACAGTATCTGCAATAATTAAAAAAAAAACTTTTATATAATCTACTTTCGGTGAAATACACTATAGACACGGCTTGTCAGAATAGCCATTTCTGCTGTATAGACTATTCTTAGGAATTTTAAATATCGTCTCCTCTGCAGCTGATTCAGTTACAGTAATGTACTGTTTCAATGTGTTCCTCATACATGAAAATTGTATGTTTAGCAGATGCACGCACTGGTAAATTTCCAGGCAAATTTGTCTGCTCCCTAATATGCAATCCCATTAAATTAACTGATATACATGACATTATTTATTCCCTAATAGAGCTTTAAATACTTTATTGATTGACAAGGTTTACCACACTATTTTATAGCAGTAATTTATGACAGAGTAATCACTGAGGGATGTGCCTGAGATAAGTCCCTGATGGATATTCCAATAGTCAATACTTATTCACAGACAACACAATTAACACACTTATGGACAACACAAGCAAACACAGGAAGACTTTAAATCAGTCTGTTAAAACTGTGGACTAACGGGACTGTGAAGACATTTTAACAGTCTGGTGAGTAGAGATGTTCTCATTTTAAGAATTTGAGTATTATTTCAATTAAGAAGATGACTTGTTAAAAAAAAAGCAAAGCAATTGCACATGCAACAAAACATTTAGTTCTTCGTATAAGATGTGCTGTATGCAGCCTGAGGTAATTTTTTAAGCTTAACATGACATTAAAGCTCAATGATTGTAATTTAATATATGAAATGTTGCTTGCAGAACAGAACCCTTCAATATTACCTGTCTTGATCTCTACCTCACTACTGAAAATAATACAAGGACTTATTCATTTGAAAACTCCAAACAAGTATACACAAAAGGATTACACACTTGACCAGCGTAGACAATGCTAAAACCCAAAGAAGATTTCATAAATGTAAAAGAAGAAATGTCTTTTGTCTGCAATGTCCGTGAAGGTCTTTAATTTTAGCATGACAGATTCTGCTGGTTTAGTTTAACCCTTTCACACATTATTGTCTTTAAAAAGGAGAAATTCACAAGATGCAAGAGTTTATAATATTACAGAGAACTTTAATGATCCAGACAAATAAATCCTTTCTAAGGAAACATACAGGATGTACAGGATCACTGCTTAACTGGTACTTCTGTTGATCAGCTTCATTTAAACTACTATTTCCGATCCAGATCTATTTATGATACTAACTGTATGGGACATGATACTCCCATATTTACCTGTCATTTGAAGGTATTTATAAGGATCTTCCATTGCTAAAGACCGCACAGCCCATGGGCTCAACTGTCCACTATCTCCTCAATGAGGGATTTAATGTTAAGACTTTCTGAGCAATTAAGACAACAGAAATAAATTAATGGTGAGGGAGTATGCTACACCAAGGACTAAATATTTGGCTGTCTAGTGAGATTGAGAAATTAACTTTTGAGTTATAATAATAAACCATATTTATAAACCCCAAATAAACAATGTGAAAATAGCTCCATGACCCAATAATCAGTGTATTGTCATAATGATACCATATGATACATAGTTTCTTCTGTGTATGTTTGGTTGTAATGGCAATATCAGCATGTCCAGATTCTCCTAGTAAGGTTATCCCTAGCAAAAAGCTTTGGTCATGTGTTGCAAACACTAGAAACTGGACAAAGACATAGGAGCAAGTAGTGTACCAATACCTTTTAAAAGCTACTCTGATTTTTAAGGAACTTTATTTTACTATCATATTGAGATCAAATATATATATATACCATAATATAATAACACTGTAACAGTACTTCTTGTGAAGAAGTCATTTACTTTTATAATAGGAAACTATAGTAATAAACCGTTTATCAGTTAATTTCACTGTTTATAAAATCTGTGATGTATGGCTCTTCATTTTGTTCAGCTGCTGTATTTGTCCATATTCTGATTTAAAGCACAATTTAACTTGGCATTACCATGGATGGTAGGTCTATAGTTGTGTTGTGTTGTGTTGTTTTGTGTTGTAATCGGAAAATCCACACCTTCAACTACTATCAACCCTATTAAATAGTTCTAGTAGTCATCGTATCATGAATCCTCTTCAACTCGGCACAACCAAAAAGTTATCCGGGACTGTTTATGTATATCTGGATGGTCAAAAAATCATGTCTTCATTGATAAGACGAGGAAACAATTTTTAGATCCTATTAATTTGTTGTTTTTTTTTACTTGCTGTTGACCAGTTAATTAATTTTTTCAAATGTATACAATTATTATAGTGAGCATGTTCTCCCCATGTTTACATGGACTATCTCCAGGTACTCTGGTTTCATCACACCCCCCAGAGACACTGCTTAGGTTAAAAATTGCTCCTGTTTGATATTACCCTGTGATGGATTGCTGTCCCCTCCACTATGTTATTCCAAATGGTACTCTATGCTTCTGGAATTGGTTCTGGACTGCTGAAACCCTTACCAGAAAACAAAAAGAAATTCCCTGACAATGGATGAATAGATGGTCACAAGTCTTGTGTAATTGGCAACTGATCACCCTGTTAACCTTTTTTTTCCCCTTTTTGATGTCAGTATAACCCATATACAAGGCTAAAAAACAATATAAACTTTACCATCAAGACAGTTACTGCAAATGTTAAAATCATTTAATAGTACCATCAAAACACATCACAGCAAACATGTTAACTGCTGTAAGGCTGTAAACATACTGTATAAGGTCACTCAAAAAAAATATTTATAAAACATACAGTATATGACCAACCAGAACTATTTCTACTAATTAAGGGAGACAAAGTAACTAATGCCAAGTTATGAAACATGAATCCAGGAGAATTTGCCTTTTGTAAGCTTTGTAAGACACACACATTCTAGTAGGCAGTGTCTTCACACTGATTCCGCCCTACTGAACAGTCCATCAAGCACATACTGTACACATTAGGGGATTAAGGACAATTCTCAACAAACAACCTATGTGCTATACTGTTCCATCTTTACCACCAAAAATGCTCTGTGAATGTAATCTAAGAAATCTATTCCACCTGTGGGCATAAGCATTCTAAGTGTTATGTCACCATCTGCATTTTGACAAGCCACATTCATAAAGAAAGATAAATAGCACCTACCTGTAAACATGTGAGACAGCATTGCTTGTTTTATCCCATCCATTGTGAATTTTAAAGCAAAATGAATAACAACTCTATGCATTTTATGTTTATGTCCAGTTAAAAAAATGCATGCATTACGCTATAGATTTTGTGTAATGAACTTTATGTTTATATTTTGTTTGCATGTTTCATTGCGATCCTCCTACCTGATCTCTTCAGTCTCTTCTTCAAAAGCAGCTTTCATTGATGGTACTAATATGGTCAATGGATTGAAGAAAAAATAATTTCATCTTATTGATAAAATGTGTTATAATTTATGGATTTGCGTGTGGAAAATAAAAATTGAAAAAAATGAAAAAATGGTCTTGAGTGATTATTTAGGTTGTTACACAAATTCAGTGTAAAATTCTTACCTGTCTGAAAGATGAAGGTTGGTATACACACAAAACCATACATTTTGACATACAAAAATACGTAAATCCAGTTTAAGGGTGGTTAATCACAGCTTGGATTTCTGATGAAAGCCAACTGAAGCAGATTATTATAGCTTTTGCAAAAGAAACCTGCGAAACTTGAATATTAGTGTCAGGTTCACTTTAAAACAGTTGTCCTTTGACAATGTAAGACACATGTAATTCCTTCTTTAGAATCTTCTCAAATGGTGTAAAGTGGTCTTCTTAATTATTCTTTAATAAATAAATTCTCTCTGACACATGTAAATATTGCTGTTCCCCAATTCAAGTTTCCCAGTGAAATATCGCAAAATAAATAACATGATCATAAACTTTCACTTGCCATGTCATTTAATCCTGATCCCCGATAAATATGTGCATTTTTAAATGTAAATAAAACTGCAATTGTATGACTGCTATTTAACATTTATCAGGGACAAGAATCAAATGGTGAGATTTATAAGATCACTTACCCCATGCTGCATGAAGAGGAACAGAATATGTTGAACCAAATGTTAAGTTCAGTGTCATTTTCTTGCAAACATCCTTTATGTTCAACAGTAAAAAAGGTGTTACCAGTCCAGTTGCCTGAGTGGCAACCACAGGAATGAGGATCCCCTTTCAAGTGTCAATTATAATTCCATGCATAAAGCAATATGAAATCCCTGCCATTTTAACAGTGTGAAATCAAAGCAAAGACCACACCTACCTTCTGTGTTTCAGCACATTCATTAGCATATAAATATATTTAACATGCTCAAGGCTATTATTTAGCACTTTTACTGAATACTACAGAAAATATAAATAATACACAAACAATTGTATATGTGTATATTTATATGTGTATAAATAAAAATAAAACATTTAGTACCTTTAGTTTTACCTATGCAATTGATGAAATGGTTCCATGAAGAAAGCGTTTCCAGACAGAGAAAGAAAATAAAAGAGGAGAGAGACACTCATAAGACTCGTGACTGTATGTAAATGCAGAATAAAAACTCACTGATGGAAAGAACGGATGAGCACGTGAGGAGAATATAGAGATCTCCGTGGATGCATTGGGCGACACACAGGGATAGCCAAGTATCAATACTCCTGCATCACCGAGGCATGCAGAGGGAAATACACTTTGCCGTGCTCTACTGAAATGGTGTCAAGATGAGAAAATGTCTGTCACAATGGGGAAGGTCAGTCCACTCACTGGGATAAGGAGATTTTCAATGGCATTCCAGCAGCCAAAATGGGAGCACATGTTTTAAAATAGACATGCACTGCCCTAAGCATGATTTCACCAACCCTGCTTTACAAACCACAATGAAACAAAAATAAGTTGGATCAGTGAACATCCCTCTCAAACACACTTAAGACAAAATCCCTAGCATCCCCCAGTTTTTGCTTGTCAGATTTTTATTGTATTCTGCTTCCTTTTTTGATTATTCTGATACCTTTTCACTTTGCATTTTTTTTTCATTGTGCTATCTTCCTGTTGTTTTTGTCTCTTTTAATGTTTTTTTGTGCTGCAGGAAAAGAGGAACGTAAAGCTAGAAGGGAAAAATAAAGTAACGGCAAAGAAAAACAAACAGCAGAAAAAAAATGGCCGATAACCAAACCATCCATTTACTGTGCAAGGTAGCGTTCAAGCATCTGGCCTGAGTTCTGCAGTGGCGAAATGTAAAAATAAAGCAGCTAGGAGAGCACAAGAAGGAACGATGGAAGCAAGAGAGGAAAAGGAACAGAGCCCATACCTTGGTCGCCCATCATCAGGTGCGCCAGACCTTGAAGGAAAACAAGAGCACAGTCAGCATAGAACACGGGATCATGGGAAGGATCTGTCACAGTGACAAGAATGCTTTGTGGCAGGCATCTGCTTCTCATGAGATGTCTGCATCGCAAAGGGAAGAGGGGAGCGGAAAGTTGAGTAGGAGAGGGAGGTTCCAAAAGCATTTTCTCAACCAGTGGTTGAAATGCTTTGCGTCACACTTACTTTGAAAGATAAAAGGCGTTTTTGTTTTATTTTTTAAAAAAGGGGGCATCGTTTATACCCAAATCCCCAACCTCCCCTACCATACTTCGACACCATATTTATACTGCAAACAAACAGGAAAAGTGATGGAAGAAAAATAGCTTTTAGGAAATTCAGGTTGCCCAAATATACTGTAAGTTACACAGTCTATCTCAGTCTTTAAAGACCAAGTTTATATATATATTTAGCAGTCATTGTTTCTCCATTTTTCAAACACAACCTGATGGGCTGGGTCTGGTCATTTTCCCCTCATCGAAGCCAATACTTAAGAGTATTGATTGAATTACATCTCCTCCCGATGCTTACATTCAAAACTGGATTGGCCACCTCTTCCAAGAAGCACCTGTATTTGCTTCTGTCATAACACCGTCACCTGTAAAGCCTGTCATGCAAGAGTGAGGTTGTTCTAGAGTAAGACTCTAAGGTCTTTCTACTTAACATACAGCCATGGTCTGTTTCACCACAAAATATCTTAGCTTAAATCAAGGACAAGCATGTCATGATTTATTTGATATGAAATCACTTTTTTATTGATTACAGTTTTCAGCTTTATACTTCATCTCTAAGGAATATGACATAGAAAACAAATCTAAAATATGTTCAGAACACAGTTGTATTCTGTATATTTTTTTAGACAAGTAAGACACTACCAGGCTAAGGTGTGGCCTACTGTAAATAGTTATAAAATCAGGGAATTTGCAATGCAATGGTTTGGCAAAAATTACTTACCAGTATTCACAGTACATAATGTAATTCTGTAACTGCTGTATTTTTTTTTCCCTTCAGAGACCTATGTCAATGTTTCAATTTATAGAAACTGAATTATATTCAAACTTTTTTCTGTATATACAGTAGCATTACACCTCATGAAAGTAACTTCTTTAATAAGGTTTTTTGTTATGAGTTTCAAGGATGCTTCCTTGTAGAAATGCCTATGTATGAGAAGATATTACTGCAGAAGATAAGTAATAACGAATAACTCAAGTGAGTTAATTGACAACACCCTTCCACACAATAGAATATATTCGTGCATGTCTCTAGTCAGTTGACAGCAATTTTATATGAACAAGCCAATCTATTTTATTTAACTGTGCATACTGGTCCAATGCAAAGTATAGCACAGGCCTTTGAAGTCTCAGCCATGCTAAAAGTACCTTTTTTTTTTTGCTAAGGCAGATGCCTCATGTCCAAGGATTTCTGTTAATATCAACGTAAAGTAAATCTACTTACCGTACTGTGGACATCCGGCTTAACAGTATCAATCACACAGCGGAAGTTTTTTAAAGAAATACAGACAAGAAAAGAATCACAGAACAAAGCAGAGTACCCACCTTCAACATAGTTGTCTTCTGCAAGCACGGACAGGTAAGGAGAAAAAAAGGAAGACATTCATTAAGCAGCATGCAGACTGGAACTTGCCATTGCATGTCTTTATCATGCAAGGCATCAAACACATCATGCAAGTGCCCCATTGCCACCATTCAAGGGGGTTAACAAAAGCACCAGAGAAGCAGTGCTGTTAATATCAACTGCTTAATTGAAAAAATAACGAGACGCATCAGTTCTGTAATCAACCTTTACCGGGTGCACAAACGACTTGTGCTGACATGAGCATTCTTTCCTATTAACAGTTTTCCTCTTAGAGCTTTTGTCGGTAAATATTTAAAAAGTGCTGGTGATGAGTTGTTTTTTGTGATGATAATCCGATGGCCGTTGACCCCCAGTGTCCAACCAAACTTTCCATAATGAACACTTCAAAATAATTTAGCCTTAAAACAAGATTTATTGGCATTAAAAAAGGTGATACTTGCAAGCAAATGAAAACAATTACAACAAGAAAATTAAATTAACAGACTTAAGGTCATAATGGAAACATTTTCAAAACGTCATGCAGAAAAATGGAAAATTAAATGTAAAATACAATCTGACAGCATTCAATGGCTTTTGATGACAGGCTGATAAAGCTCCTGGTTCAATCTACTTTGAAGAATAAAATAATCTTCTTTAAGGATATTTAAAGTTTCTATTTTATATTCTGTCATGGTTAAATTTACAAACTTACAGTTTGGGCTCTTTCAGAAAACTGACCTTTTCAAGTTTTATTATTTCTGTTAAGATTCCTGTTAGGAAAAAGTGATTTTAACCAGATTTCATGCTTTTGGAACATCAAAGTGAATTGTGAGAAAGCAATGCTTCAAGCACCACTTCTCAACAAAACACATTAAGTAATAAAAACAAGCATCTCTTCATTTGACAAAGAATGGACTTACAATGTTGAGCAATGGAGCAAGATTGTCAAGACTGTACTAATCAATTTCTGTAATCATATTAAGTAATTGTTCTGAACAAATGTAGCTTCTTAAAAATAAAACTTATCCAAAGACACCAGAACCTAGTTTTGGGCCATTTAATTTTTTTGGGCATGTAAAACCTTTTGCAATGTAGAAAATCATTTCTTTTAAGGTATATTTTAACCCTGAGAGCAAATAAACCATGCCCCTAGTGAACATAAGGGCATTTGCATCATGCATAGATGTAGCTTCTGCTTTGTTAAAAAGAAAAGGCAAAATTAACATCTTTAAGAAGCATGACATGTAAGAAAGTCAACAGCTGTCATCAACATTTCTCTTAGGGCAATATCTACAATTATGCTTTTGCTTGTTTCATGTTTTTTTTTATTCTAAAAAGGTTGACATGTTTGTTCTTCATTTTATTGGAATCCTTTAAAGATGATCTTGCAGGTAGTTAAACTCACAAAACACTCAGAGGTTGTGATTATCAGTGCTTTTCTGGAAGACTTTGAAGCTGGTAACCCCTTTCTCTTCAATTCCATTGATCAAGATTAACGGCAAAGATGCCTTGTACCGGTCATCATTAACCTACACATTTTTGTCACTTAAATGGCTCAATTAAAGTTCATCTGTAAAAGATATATCCCACAGCCTGATATCACTCACTTGTTCTTACTGTATCTCCACAGGCACACACTGCTAATCCACGACACAGGCTGCCTCCAGTCACTGGTAGGTATGACCACATGTGAGCTTCTCCAAGCAGCATTTGACCAGAATCAAGGACAGCTTGATGTCCTTTTTCTGTTAGAAATGCAAGCTCCTACCTCTTGATTTAGTGCCCGATAAAAATGTCTTCTTGACTGCACACTTACCAGAATAGTCAGCTTCATTTCCAATTGAGATACCACGCACCACAGCCAAATATGATAGCACCATTTCATGTGAACAAAAATTAATTTTTGTTTAAAAAGATCACTAAATAAGATTAGCCACTCCGAGATACTCCGAGAATGTGCAAAAAGCATCACAAATGATTAAAGTGCTACAGTATATGTATTCAAGGATGACCTACTGCACTCTCTTCAAACATACAGTTGCAAATGGAGGTTTAAGTGACTTTGGACACAAACATTCTGATAATGCGTCTTCTTCACAATGTCTTGATGCAGTTTTTTTAATTCAAGACTTAAGTGACTAACACTCAACCTTCATTGGTAACATAATAATTACAGTATGTACCTAAGAGAATATGTTTCAGAAGGTGTTCATAGTTTTTCTAAAAATAACTTCAAATACTCAAAAGCCGGAACATGTTCTTGAAATGTTCTACATACTATACATTATTGCACTAAGCATTTCCTGTTCTTCCAATAAATAAGTAAAACTAAAGATCATTTAAGCCTTATTTACATCAAGAGATTAATTTAAAGTGACTTTGTCATCGTTCATAACCAAAAACACATTTAAAAAATAAGTTTTTTTTTCACAAGCGTAAGCTGAAATTTGCGTGAATTGAAACCAGAACTGATCAGAACATTAATCTTTCCTGATAAATAAAAAAAAATGAAAATTAATTATACCTGAAATGGAGATTGCACAATTAACAGGAGTATTAAAAAAGATAGCATTTTTGCAAAAATCTGCTTATTGCCTCATTTATACATAGTTAGTTATATACGTTTCGGAATTATAGCAAAAAGTAACTAACATTTCCTTAAATCTTTGTAGATATTACAACAAAAACAACATCATGCATTCAGACTATATATGCTCTGGGTTCAGGACAGGAGTAATATCAAAAAAACTGTTGACCTGCTTCTAAAAAAAAATGTGTTTAATGACAATCACAAATGTAAAATTTTTATCTAAGCATTTAAAGGGAAATATAAACCCAAGGAGTACTTATCTGGATATGTCATGCCTCAGAGTATTTAATCAAAACCCAAATTACAGTAGTTTTCTTTGGTAGTTTTGGCCAGCTACAGTAGTAGCTCAATGGTTTCTCTAAGACACATGGCTATGTGTACATGAGGCGTTCAGATGTTCTGTTTTAATATTATCCTCATAGTAAGGTTGAATTGCTGCATTTTTGAAGTTCAACTAAAATATACAATTCTAGCCTTACCATCAGATCATTTAGATCCATTACTGATTTTTGTTGCTTTTTACCTTATTTGGTTTAAGATTCAGCTCATATTAGGAAAATATGCTGCATAATAACTGAGTTCAAATACAACTGTAACAGCCCAAGGCTGTTAGTGCAAAACAATGCACAGTATCACACTTTGAATCATGAGTAACATTATTTTTATAAGCTGCAACTTCACAAAAGGAAGTAGGGGGCTCTTTTGTAAAATTTCTGCTCACCTCTCCAATTGCTGCTCTTTCAAAATACAAACCCCATGCATCAGGGGAGACTTCAGTCTCTGAGACATTCAGCATTTTACCATATTACATGCATGCATACTTAGTCCTACAGTAAAATACAGTAATAAAGGACATACAGTAGTAAATATTAATGTGAAATCAATTTTAAGATCTTGAAAGTACAGGTATTTACTCTATGGTAACAGACAGCAGAACAAAAAAATGTGAAACCAAGCCAACTTTAGAAAAAAGGTATTTATAGTGGTTTAATCTTCCTAATGAAATCCCTCATTTAAAAAAGACCCAGTCAAATATTCCTCAAAGTATTTCTCTTTTGTTATTGATCTCAGGACAGTGTCAGCATAAAAAACACAAGTCCCAAATTTATGGTGAGACTGTGACTGAAACCGCATCTTGTGATTAAAAAAGAATGGATAGGCTTTATTTTAAAGTTCTGCAGTATACCCAAAATCACAATCATGAGGTTCAGTAATAATGCAACAACAAACAAAGGGACAATTAATATGAATGACTTTGCTGTGATTATGTCCATGCCAGTTGACTGGCACTTGAAACTTTCAGGATTAATGCTTACACTTCTCATATTTATCACTTCCACTATTGCATACTGTTATCAAGGTTTTCGTAGAATTACAACTGCTGTATTGTATTTTATTTATGATGTTGTTTATGACATAAAAGTTTTTAAAAATCCAATATTTAAGAATTATTTTATTTTATAAAAAAAGTAAAAAAAGAAAAATTATCCAGCCTCACCCTGGTTTTAAATCCATATTAAAGAGCCATATTATAAAAACAGATTATGGTCACCATCGTGAACATCATACTGTGTTGATGGGTCTTTGGTACACTCTAGGCCTGACTGTTGTTCATGCTGTTTTTGATTTGATTCCAGTTTTATTTGACTTAGCGTGGGTCCTTTAAACTGATTGATCTTGCTTGACTTCTCATTAACTAGATATATTTATAACTACCTTTTACTTATATCACAAAGTGTTAAGGATATTCCCACTGCAGAGGTAAAATTAAGTGTTATAATAATTTTACAATTATCCTAAGAACACATTTATAGTAAAATACCATAGTTATCTGGAAACACAACATTTTCTTTCTTTTAAACAATTCATCCTCATCTTTCATTCAAAAATAAGGGAGTATTAAACTGTTTTAATCTTCTTGGTGATATTGCTTTGCAACCCAGCTTTTATTTTTAGTATTAAGCACATTTTTGACCTGACCAAAAGTTCACAAAATAACCAGACACCAATATACTGTATGTGTTGCCAAAGGTTACACTGGAAGCCAGCACATTCCCCTCAAATACGTTATACAGAGAGAACCTCAAAGAGGTTTTAATGATCGAATGGTATAATTTTCTGCTAATTAATTAATAGAACATCAGTTGCCTTCAGGGTTACCTAAAACTGTATTCAGTGCAATGCAATTAATGTAAATTTTGCTAATTAAGGCTTTTCAATTATGTGCATAAATAAATCAGAAACTAGAAGTCTAAACACAATAAATCTGATTCTGTTCACCACAAAATAGTAATTTGTAAGTCATATTGGAGCTTGTTCCTAAGTGATTATGACACAGGCTTAATTGTGTGTGTAATGTTGGAAAGGTTTTGATTAAAGAATCGATTGTCCCACTTTGTAACTGCACTT